AGTATTTTAAACTGTATAAAAAAAATTGAAATCAATTGTGAAAATCCATTCCTTATATAGGACGTTCCCTCCTGTTCAACCATACACCTTGTTATAACAAACAGATTCAGGTGCTTGTTATAATAAGTTTTACTGTTTTTTTTATTAGTTTATACTATATACACAAAAATATTTATTTATTCTTTGAGCACTATTCTTAGTTCATCATTTCTATCTTTTTTTTTCAACCACAATTTTTTACCATCCTGGCAAGTAAAATTTCTTTGTTGATTTTTTTTTTGATGCAAATCTGCATGTTTAATAGATAAAACAACCAATATCCAACCAGTACTTAAAATTTTTTAAAATGGCCAAATGATGGTTTTCATAGTCCATTCATGTTATTAAAATTTGTGGGATGGCCATCTTATTATGATCTCTTCTGTTTCTTGGATATCATAAAAGGTAAGATATACTGAATTATTCTGTTTAATCTTAATTTTAAAGAAATAGTTTCCTTATGTATACTCAATGGAAATATATTACCAGCTGATATATCTCCTTTCATTGTAATAGCATGATAATATGGATTATTAGGACCAAAGCATGTATCAACTATTTGCTCTTTTAAATTTTTCTAAAGAGTAATTATGAGTTTGCATGTATTGTATCTAATGTGGAATATTAAATAAATAAATAAAAATATTTATTTGCTTACCTTTCTCTTTTTTAGTTATTTTCCATTATTACTAAAACAACTATTACTAAACATGTATAAAATAAAAACTAAGGAATTAGTTTCATGGATCATAAATATATAGTATAGAAGTTAAAAGAAATATTTAACAGATATTTGTGTGTTGATGGAAGTTATTTAGTTTAAAATAAACTTTAGCAATTTTAAAAGTCATTCCCATAAGTTTAACTTATACATTCACTAAGAATTTGAACTTAGTTAATAATACAAGTCTTTATTTTTAGTACCAACTTTTAATTTTTTTTATACATATAGTTTAATTATAGCTCTCAGCAATATATTATATGGGGGGGTTTTCTAGCAAAAGGTAGCTTAAGTCATATTAAATTATTTTGAGAAAATGACTTCTGAAAATTTGTTACACGAAAATTGATTGTTTTGAACCCCAAAAATTTATCATAACAAATTTTGGTGAAACGGCCGAATTTTTGGTAGGGCAAAAATTTAAAAATAAATTTTGGTGAAATGGCCGAATTTTCATTAATTAATTCTTATAAATAATGCAAAAATTTCTTATAAAAAAATTTTTTATAAAAAACCAAATATCTAGTATAGAACATCTGAAATAAAACCTAAACCTTATTTATTAAAAAATTTACCATTATAATTATAACATGTTTTCAAATTTAAATCAATCATCTGTAGATTTTAATTCATAGTAATATCACAAGTAATGAAAATGGCATGGAATTATCACCTGAAAATTCAATTTTACCAGATGAATTATATGATTTAGGATTAGAAGCATATGAACCAAATGAATTAGTATCTGAAGCAGTCCAGGATTTGAAATTATTTTTTGAAGATGAATCAAATTGCAAATGTCGTAAAAAAAAGATAAAATATGTTTTAAAAAAATTGGCTTTAGAAATTTTTTGGAAAGAAAATTCCAGTTAAAAGGATTAGAAGACAATGAACTGGATCTTTGTATTAAAACACAATTGATGGTTTTTAAATTAAATGATGAGGATGACAATGATGAAACGGAAAGAGATACTTATAATTATCAATATAATTCAACAATACCAATTTGTCAACCAGTTTTTTTAGAACTAAGTGGTTTTAGTAAAAAAAAATTAATAGCCTTGCAAAAACATTTAAAAACAGATGGTTTAATAAGTTGCATACATGGTAATACTGGTAAAGTTCCTCAAAATAAATCATGTGCAATAGTTGATCTCAAAATTGCACAATTATTTAAGAATTTTTTATTGCAATACTCAAATTTACATGGATTACCATCTCCTATGAGAATGAGGGATGAATCAGAATTAATCATTTATTTACCAACTTATTTAAATTACACTACAGTATATGAGGAATTTAGAAATTATTTTGATTTGGAATATGAATCTATTAGACCAATTGAATATAATACATTTTACAAACTATGGAAACAATTAACACCATACATTAAATTCCAAACACCTGGAACTGATCTTTGTGATACTTGTGAAGCATTTGAAAGAGATATAAGATTTACAAATGATGATGATGAAAAAGAAAATCTTAAATTTGAATACAAAAATCACAAAACAGATGCAGAACAGGAAAGAAGCCATTATACCAACATAATTGAAAAAAGCAAAAATGATTCAACAGTAACACACATTTGTTATGATTGGGCCCAAAGTGTTGCAGCTCCATTTTCATCTCAGCAAGTTGGATCAATTTATTTCAAATCCCCTTTCATCATACACCTTTTTGGTGTATGTAAGACAGATGACAGAAAAAATAATCAGTTAAATTATACTATAGGAGAAGATGAATTATCGGAAGGAAAATCAAAAAAAGGAGCCAACACTACTTTGAATATGGTTTTTGAGAATCGTCATGTTGATAAAAAAGATCTTTATGTCACATGTGATAATTGTCCTGGACAAAATAAAAACAATTTGTCTCTTTGGTTTTGGTCATGGTTAACAATGTTGGGTTGGTATGAGAATATTTATATAAATTTTATGATACCTGGGCACACAAAATTTATTTGTGATGCTAAATTTGAATCTATTAAAAAAGCATACAGTCATATAAATACTGTTGACAATGTTGAGATGGTTATAAACAAATCATCTATCTATTAGATATGATAATGGGATAGGTTGGAAATGGAAAGACTTTAATTCCATGTTAAAAGATCATTTTAGAACTTTACCAAATATAAAAAAGCATCATCATTTTTGCTTTAGTAGTTTGACAGCTGATATTGGAATAGTTTATTTTTCAAAAAAATCTGGTGGAGAAGAATATTCTTATAATCTTTTGAAGAATACTAATTTTGATAAAAATACACAACTAAATTTTCTTGAAGTTGTCCCTTTATCAGAAGACTGGAAAAATTATTTGTATACCAACATTCATCAGCATGTAGATAATCCATATAAAGATATTCTTTGTCCAAACCCTATTTATTATTAATATTAATATTTATCAATTATTTAATAATAAAATTTTTTTTATCGAATTTCGTGTAACAAATAAAATTTGGGGTTGTAGATCAATTCAAACCTATTTTGCAAATTAATTTAAAAAATTCTTCATTGCCCAATCACTCATTTTTTTATTAACATAATCCTTATAATATAAATACATATTATGCAAAAAACTCAATTTTGGTCAGGGGGCACTTAAGCTGCCTTTTGCTAGAAAACCCCCCCCCATTTGTTTTTCTTAATATTAATTGATATATAGAATTATTTCTTAGACCTTATTATAAAAATTTTTGTAATCATGCTACTTTTTTGATGTTTGGATGATATCTGTATCCATCAGCCATACGCCATTTCGGATCGACACACACAGATCGCATCACTAATGTGTATCACGCAAAAAAAAAAATATATATAATATAAATTATTTTAAGAAATGAATTTATTTTTTTCAAAAAAATTTTAAAGGGAAAAATGCCTCTACAACAACTTGTTCTTCACCCCACGGTCAACAATTCATTAAAGTATGCTAGCACAACAGTTGGTAGAGATAAGATATATAGAACTGTTCAATACTTTGCTCGGTTTCTTGTTTGGTATTTTAAACGTCAAGGTTATACCAAAGAAACAATTCAGAGATTTGCTAATTTAAAAAGTACATTAGGTCTTTCCAGAAAACGTATGTATTTAATTTGAAAATTTATCATTAAATATGTAATAAGTTATATATAAAATACATAATTCGTTTCTTCACAATTTAACAAAAAGTTATGAGACTTGGAAAACCCAATTATAAAAATTTTTGTAATCATGCTACTTTTTTGATGTTTGGATGATATCTGTATCCATCAGCCATACGCCATTTCGGATCGACACACACAGATCGCATCACTAATGTGTATCACGCAAAAAAAAAAATATATATAATATAAATTATTTTAAGAAATGAATTTATTTTTTTCAAAAAAATTTTAAAGGGAAAAATGCCTCTACAACAACTTGTTCTTCACCCCACGGTCAACAATTCATTAAAGTATGCTAGCACAACAGTTGGTAGAGATAAGATATATAGAACTGTTCAATACTTTGCTCGGTTTCTTGTTTGGTATTTTAAACGTCAAGGTTATACCAAAGAAACAATTCAGAGATTTGCTAATTTAAAAAGTACATTAGGTCTTTCCAGAAAACGTATGTATTTAATTTGAAAATTTATCATTAAATATGTAATAAGTTATATATAAAATACATAATTCGTTTCTTCACAATTTAACAAAAAGTTATGAGACTTGGAAAACCCATGGAACATTTGCAAAATGCATCTAAAGCATTCAATGAAACAGATGAATTTGCAAAGTTTACAACAGTCGGTAGACAATTAAGTTATGCTGCTTATCTTTCTTTTGACACGTTTGCTTGGGTGATTATAATTACATAATTACATTGATTTTTTTAATAAATTATATATATTCTTATCGAATACATATACACTTAATCTTTTGATAGGTTCATGGTGTTGGCGTTTATAAATTCAATCAAATTCAAAAAATAAACACTTATGCTTATAGATTCTGGTTAATTGGACTTTTGTTTTCTATATTAAATGGTTTATACAAATTCCATAACAACAATCTTCGCAAAAGTTATTTCGAACGAATTAATAAGTCAAAGGTTGCAGAAGGCAGTGAAAATATCAAACAAGATATCGCTGATTTAAAAAGGTAATTCGATAATTAATTATAATTAATTTGTATGGTATTATATTTATATCTAGTTTTTATATTTATTTAGAGAGTATAAGAACACTATTAGACAACTCGTCCAAGATTTACTTGATATTACAATTCCTGCAACTGCTCTCAAATATATTGATCTCGGTGATGGATTTGTCGGAATAGCTGGTGTAATATCATCTTTATTGGGTGCTCAATCACAGTGGAAGAAAGTTAATAATTAAATAATTTTAATTAATATTACATATGTATAAATATATTTTCTTATTTGGCCCTCCCTTTTTTGATATACCTGGTATTACAAATTTTTGATGTAATATAATAAAAAAGTTTTTAAATATTAAATATCCTTAACGGGGCCCGAAAATTAAATTTTGACCCATCTATTAGGGGATTTACCCTTAATATTTTTTGAAAAATATATTTTTTAATAATATTGCCATCATGAAGTCCTATTATGACATCCTTAGTGTTGAGACTACCGCTTCTGAAACTGAAATAAAAAAGGTTTAAAAAACTTAATCAATAATTATTACATCTTAAAAAGCGATTTAACATGGTGTTAGTCATTAAATCCTCTTTTTTTTAATCTTTACTTTTAGGCTTATCGTAAGTTAGTAAGTTACAATGCTAAAATATATATTTTAATTACGATGTTTTAATAAAGTCAATTAAAAAGATTTAGTAGATTTAGAGCAAATTTTTTCTTAAGAAGTGTTGATGTTCAATTTCAAAATTTTTAATTTAGGCAATGAAATATCATCCAGATAAAAATCCCGATGAAATAGCAGCTGAAAGGTTTAAAGAAATCAGTCATGCGTATGAAACTTTGAGTGATCCAAAAAGGAGGTAATTTAACAATAATTTGTAGTATCTAACAAATTATTATCATCATTTATATGGTATTAAATTGATTTATATTGATTATAGGGATTTATACGATCAATATGGCGAAGATGGTTTATCTGGCAATTTTAATGCTTCTATGTCACCTGAAGATTTATTCGCAAATTTATTTGGATTTAGTGGAATGAGCGGTATGTTCAAATCAATATTTTTTTTATTTAGAAAATTTTATATAATTTGAAAAAAGTTCGTAAAAAAAATTGGTTGATCAAAAATATACATATATATATTATTATAATGATGATTGTAATAGGTGGTGTTGGAGGTGGAGGTCCTCCTAGACAAAGACGAGGCGAAGATATTCTTAAACCCTTTGATGTTACATTAGAGGATCTTTACAACGGCAAAACAGCTAAAATTTCAATACAGAAAGATGTTGTCTGTCCGGTTTGTAATGGGTATGTATGTAATAGGAATCCTTATTGTTCGTTGAAAACATTTATAATATTTGGATATGAATTTATTATGTATACATAAATAGTAAAGGGAGTAAAAACGGCCAGAAAAGGAAATGCCATAGCTGTGACGGACAAGGCTATAAGATTATAATGCGTCAAATTGGCCCTAACATGATCCAGAGGATAAATTCTGTCTGTCATAATTGTATGTTATATAATAACAGTATATAGTTAATTATTCTTATTGTTGTCCGATTTTTATTATTTAATAACTAATTTATAAAACTTCAACTTAGGTAAGGGTTCTGGAGAAATTCTTAGGGAAAAGGATAAATGTAAAAAATGTAAAGGTGCTAAGATTATTGAAGAAAGGAAAAAATTAGAGATACATATTGAAAAGGGAATGCAGAATAATCAAAAAATTATAATGAAAGGCGAAGCTGATCAAGAGGTAAAATATAAATAGCATTATTTTTATTTCATTTAAAAATGTTAATAATTCATTATAAATGTTTTCAGCCTGGTATTGAAACTGGAGATATCATCCTTGTTCTTAAACAAAAACCACATGACAAATTTGAACGTCAAGGAAATGATTTACTTACAGAAGTTAAAATATCTATTACTGAGGCTCTATGTGGCTTTTCAAAAATACTTGTTACACATCTTGATGGACGTGGTTTACTAGTGAACCATCCTCCTGGCCAAGTCATTAAGCCTGGTACCATCCAATGTATACCAAACGAAGGAATGCCTCAGTATAAACGTCCTTATGATAAAGGCAACTTGTATATCAAAATTTCAGTAGAATTTCCATCCTCTTTATGGATTTCACCTGAAAAAATTAAGGTTTTAAAATACAAAAGGCTTACGCAACACATCCATATATGTATATATGAATTGTAAATTAATTTATTTATTTCATATATATAGGAATTAGAAACACTTTTACCTCCTCGAATAGAGAAAGATGAAACAACACAACCTGAAATTGTTGACGATGTTCAGTTAATAGATGGTGATTTTAATCAGGTAATATACACACGTTAAATAATTATTTATTTAATATAGGAAAAAAGTTTTCATTAGACATTCTTTTTAAAATTTTATAGTTTGGTGCCAAAAAAGATAAAAGTCAGAATGTATGGAATGATGATGATGATGATGATGATGATGATGATGACGATGACTATGATGAAAATGATCACATAGGATGTGCCCAACAATAAATTGATTGTATGGCTTTTTTAATCTTAGAAACAATATTAAGTATTTCTTTGGTTGATTATTCTTTTACGTATCTTTCTTATATATATGGTTTAGCATTTATAAAAATAATAATATTCATTTACGGTACATATATATACATATATAGCACAACATAAAAAATCTATTCGAATAATTATTCTTGTTGTTACATATTAATATATATAATATATATGACATCTATGTTATAACTAATGATAATTTAATTCGCTGAAAGTAAAAGTGGAATATCATCATCAGCAACCAATTTCTCTTTCCCAAAAAATAACTTATTGACGTTAATAATAATGTAGAATTTTTTAATAAACAGAGACAGATATTAAATTCAAGAGATAACCAATGAATGATATCTGCGTATATATTGATAAGAATTAAAAATAAACTTTCTTAATTAGGTTTTTAAATAATTATTAAAAATAATTTTTATTAATACAAAAATAATATAAATATTTATACAATATAAATGTAAAGAAAAGATTATCAAAAAAACCATGAAAATACATTAATAAACTTTTTAAAGAATTCTAAATAATTTATATAATATAATGTAATATAACATAACATATATTGTGTGTATATATAAATATAGATAGAGAATATTATTTAATTAAATTCAATTAGTGATCATATATATATAAAATTATTTGGTAAATTAATAAAATAATATTTACAAATATTAATCAGATATCTTATTAATCAATTGTACAGTTTTATCTTCCATGTATAATACTTGTATCAATCTCGTCGTATTTTGATTGATCTAAATCACCTTGAGCTTTAGCAGCAAGCACAGCTTCTTTACGTATATTTAAATGTATCAATGTTGATCTGAAATGTCTAACAACAAATTCAGAAATATTTCCTTCTGGCTCTACGATTGCTGAAGACGCTGATGTAGGTGGATGTTGATCTGGGTTGTCCATATTTGTGAGATTTGTATTAATTAGATCAATTAAACCGTTAAGATATTTCACAGTAACCTATTTAAAAATCAAAAGTCAACAATGACATATACCTCCCCAGATTAGAAAATCAAAATAGAAAAAACTCATTAAAATCTTACGGCTTCATTTTTTCTTTCAAAATAATATATGTATCGATTTAAAATTTCAACAAACAATTCGACATTTGTAACAGAATCCATACAAGAATCGGCAATTTTTAAAGCCTTTTGTAAACACTCGAGAACTCTTTTACCATCGCGGTATAAATCCTATTGTTGTTGTTATTGTTGATAATTAGTTAGTAAACGAATAATAAAAATTTTATTGAAACAATTAGGAAAAAATATACCTCGGTGGATTTACTTCTCCTCCCTTCAATTTCAGTTGCCCACCATAAATGACTTGAGATATAAACTGCTCGACATTGATCTGGTTTCTTTAATAATTTACTACCATGTAGCGCACATTTTGTTATCAATGTATCATAATTCTCTGGTCCAAATACACGTGTAGTTTGTAAAGTACCAATAATAAGTGTGATCGCTTGGAATTGTGCTCGTGATTCTGAAATGGACTCTTCATAAATAGTAAACGCCTAAAATAAAAAGCTAATTTTAATTAATAAAGCTAAAATCAATGGTTGGTAAATAATGATTGTTATTGTTTTAAAAAAAAATTCTTTTTATCTTTTTTTACTTGAACAAAAAATTCATAGCATATTTCTTCAAATCCACATTCATCTGCACTTTGTCCAGCCAGAAGAAATAAACGCAAACATATATCTGGACATTCGACTTTGTTATAAAGAATCGAGATAATTTGATGAATAAATCGAAAAAGTGATGAAATCTTCTTTTCCCATCCCTCATCCTGATATTAATGATAAATGATAAATATATTTGATTAACAAAGGAAAAAAGAAAAATACATATTTAATTAATAATTCATGTACATATATACATATATTGATTTACCTGTCCTTCTAATGCTTTATATCTTCTTGCTAACTTAACAGCTGATACAACAAGCGGAGGAAAAGTATACCTTATTCGTTCTCCACCTTCACCAAATTGTTTACGTGCAGCAGAAAGCAACTAATTGGTGATATAGTCATTATAAGTTTGTCATTTGTTATTATTATAATAATTATTACAATGATTAAATGAAAAGGCATCATTAAAAAATTATTATTATTTTTCAAAATTTAAAAACATCATACCACAAATTGATTGTCTGGTTCATCACTTTTAAATAAGTGAATAATTCTTGCTAATAAACCTTGTTCTTCAGCAAATTCTTCCGGATCCATCATTGATGAAATACCATTCGACTTTGTGATTCTTCCACCAGTAAGACCACTAAAAGGGCTTGAAGAAGTTGCATCTTTTTGATCTCTAATAAGGACGCTACACAAGTCTAAAATACCCTCCACATCTTCGGGTGTTTCAATTATTGTTTCTTTTTTAAGAATTGAAGAGAGAATTGCATATGCAACAGATCGACGCGTTTGAAATGGTTGAACAGCAAGTAAAGATGGATAATTAGGCAAAGCAAGAAGCGTAAGAACAGAGGAATAAGAGTTTATAGGTGCCAGTAACAGATTGAGTAAGTTAGATGCCGTAGTAGAACTGTGAAGATCGGGACTTTTTAAATTTGAGATGAAAAATATTTATTATGTACTTTATCGAGTAGTGATAACAATTTTATGAAAAAAATATTATTATTTTTTATTAAGACATACCTATCATGAAAATCTAAAACTTTCGATTTAGCAAATTCAATAACTTGATCTACATAATCAATTTTGTCAGGGTAGCAACTTAAAGACAAATTCACCAATGAAACTAATAATGCAGTAATATCTTGAATTGATAAATCAGGCCTAGCCTATATAATTTAAAATATTAAATATTAAAAGATTTGTGTTTAATAAAACCATGCATATATGTATATAATATTCTTCCTACCTTAACCAAATTAACAATTTGATCCCAAAAAACTTCGAATAATTTAACATCTTCCGGAATCCCTCTAAATTTTTTTATAACAGGTTCTTCTGATTTACTATTTTCTTCTTGTTTGATGTTATCAGACTCTGTTTCACGTGATTGATTTTTATCTACAGAATCTTCTTCCCTCTCTATTTTTTTTCCTAAATTTTCGTCTATTTCCAATTCATTGTGAGCATCGTTCTCGTTTTGACTGTATTCACTTAATTTTTGTCTTTTCAATTTTTCGGCTAACCTCCTAGCAGTTTCTTCTTCTTGGCGTTTTATAACTTCTGGTGGTTCAGAATCAGCTTCACGAGCAGCATAAGCAGCCAGACGATCAATAAGAGCTATTACGATTTGCTTTACATTTACTTTATGATTAAGTTGCGCAGTTGCAGAAAGGTATAAACCAAGCGTTCGAAGATGAAATTCGTCATGAAATACCTAATAGAATTATTTTAAATAAATAAATATATGCATAAATATAAATATATTAATATATAAATAAATTAAATAAATTTATTTATTTTCTTACTCAGTCAAACATACTTGAATAATGACTTCCATCAAATATTCTTGGGCAATTACATCCTTACAATTAATTACTTGTTCTAAAAGAGCTGGTAATATTGTCTATATTATTTATACATATGTGTATGCATTTAAGTTAATAGAACATTCAAATTATTTGCGAATGTATAATAAAAATATGTGAAAATATGCTTTACATTCTGATAAAATGGAAGATCAACACCGTCCAATTGACTTAATCGAACCAAATTAGTTCCAACCAAAATTCTTAATTCTTTACGTTCCATTTCACGTTTCTCACGATCTCGGGAATGACCCTGATGTTGTAATCGAACCCAAAGTTTATTCATTTCGATAAAATTAGTAAGAATAAATGATATTGAATCTTGAAGATTTCCTTGTGGTCTAAATATAAATTTTTGAAAATAAATAAAATTATCCTTCAATCTATTGTTATTCTAAATATATTTGCATGTGCATTTTTAATTACCCGTCGTCATTTCCAATTGGTAAAGAATCTCTTGTCATTCCACTTAGATAATGTCTCAAAAAAAGTCCTCTTGTCGGATGTTGAACTCCTCGAGACATCTCCATCATATCTTTCATAATTTCCTTTACAGGTGCATCCTTTTGCGACATATAAACACTACCTACGGTAATCATGAGATATAGACGTGGAATAATATTTCCTGCGTATTGTACCAATTCATACAAGTCAGCAAGATGATGTTTTCCTGAAATATGCGCGTCATTGAGATATGTTGTAAGGTGTCTAAGGGCATCAAAAATTGCCATATCTTTTCAAATAAAATTAGCTAAAGAATTCTAAACGATTTAAGAATGTCTTTATTTTATTTATAAGATAAAACAATATTATAAGGATACATAATTCATAATAATTTTTGGGAGTTAAGGCAGATGTGCGTAATTCTGCTAACATTGTAGAACAATGTTTTAAACCATCCATAAGTTTATTATTATCCTAGAAGGAGAGAAAAAAAAATTTGTTTTTTTTATAACCTAGAATGAATAAATTACAGAAACTTTTTAACATACCAAACATTTTTTCATTTGAAAGGCTTGAACTTTTACAACATTTAACGCTTCCTCCAAAAGTTTTGATTGATCTTCTAAGGAAACAGGAATTGTGCTCATTTTTATAAATGATAACTTTTAAATGTTAATATTAGGCGTTCTTTAAAAATTTCAACGCTTAAAGAAAAATTTATTAACAACAAATATGGGTACACAAACAATAATTTTGGTGATACGAAGTAGAGGCTGCTGAATTTTCGGGCAACTCTACGGTGCAGCTCATAATTAGACATGATCGATAATCGGGGGAATTTATGTAGTACTAAATATTTTTATCTTTGAAGAATGTCAACAAAATCATTATCGATAAGATCAAAATTTATATGTGACAAAGCAATAAATTGGTTTCCAGGTCATATGGCAAAAGGATTAAGAATTATGTCTGAAAAATTGTCTGAAATAGACTTAATTGTTGAAACAAGAGATGCTAGGATATCCTTTAAATAAAAAACAATCCTCTAATTTATTATTTATCATCTTTAATGTATATACATGACTAAATACATTCCATTGTCATCCGTAAATCCTAAGTTTGAAGAAATTGCTAGAGGAAAAGATCGGATAATCATATATAATAAGTCTGATTTGGCTGATCGTAATGTAGAAAAGGTAAATAGTTTAGGAGATTAAAGTATATCTTTCGATAAATAAATAATTAATTAATAACTATATTAGCAAATTATAGATGCATTTAAGAAAAATGTCAATCAGAATATACTGTTTACAAATGCAATTCGCAATAAAAATATAAAAGCAATCATAGATGCTGCTGCAAGTATATAGTATAAATGTTGTTTACATAAATATTATTAATTCTTTATAGTATTAGTTAATAGCAAAAAAATTTTAATAGATAAAGTAAGAGAAGATCCTATAAGATATCCATATGTTACTGTGATGGTTGTTGGTATGCCAAATGTTGGAAAATCAACTATAATAAATTCAATGAGAAACATCGGCGTTCATAGAGGTAAGGGTGTAAACATATGAACACTTGAGGGTCACGACACCAATACAGCATATATAGCATACAGCAAATGCCCATATGCCATAGGATTATCAAATAAGGTTACCTAGGTTATTTTTTGATTTACCTAATTCGGGGTCGGCACTACTTAAAAAGAAAAGATAAACAGTTGTGGCATACAACAATAGTTACGATATAGCCATGTCGTAACTATGGTCGAAAATATGTCCACACTTTCACACAATGATTTTTAGAAAATATAATTAATTATATACGGTTTTAAAAATATAAATCAATTTACCAAACCTCGCCTAGGTAAAGCTGCGAAAACTGGAGCATCGCCAGGCGTAACACGTAATGTGTCCGCAACTTCAATTAAAGTTCTTGAAGATCCTTTAGTTTATTTAATTGATACTCCAGGTAATATTAAAATTATTCCAACTCTTTACATATCTATAATTAAAACCTATTTATAATTATAATTATATAATAGGTGTAATGGTTCCATATAGCGCTGATCCTATAACTTCTTTAAAAATAGCATTAACAGGTTTATTGTTATTTTTTAATATTCAAAATAATTATATTTATTAATAATCATATTAATATTATTAGGTGGAATAAATGACGTATCAATTGACGAAGAAATTGTAGCTGATTATTTATTATGGAGATTAAATAAGTTTGGAAATTTTAGGTAAGAAAATGTTTGAAAAATATTATTTATTATAAAATGATTTTCTAAAACCATTATTTGTTTCTCAAAGTTATGTTGAAAATTATAAATTAAAAGGAAATACAGATGATATAAATCAATTATTGCCATCAATAGCAAAACGTATAGGTGCACTACACAAGCAGGGTGAATATGATCTTAGACATGCAGCATCATTTTTTATTAAACAATATAGAGATGGTAAATTTGGTAACTATACATTGGATGATGTAGAAACTGAGGCTATAAATGAATTTTTTAATAAACAGAAAAATCCCAAAGAAATACCATTGAGTAAAAATCGGATGAAAAAATTATCGTTGGAAAAAGCGAAAGAAAAAAAATTAGAAAAATGGAGGAAAAAATCTTTTTTAAATGGTGGAAAGAAATGATATTTATAAATTATTAAATTGTTGTTGGTGTAACATACGTTTATCATTTTGTCTCAAGCAAATAAATTGTTTTTGATAGCATACAAAAATGTCTTCCAATTATTCTCGCCAATATCAAAACATGCAACAACATGCTACTAATTCACCAGCAATAGCTACGATTGTAAGAAAAAGAAACAATCCTGATCCTAATAATCTTCTTAATTTACAACAACAACAAACAAAGTAACTTAATTATTTGTAATTATTTATACGTTTATAATTTATAAATTGAGTTGGTTTTTATTTTATAGGAAAAAAAGAACCATTGATAGGAACATGCCAGAAAAGGTTGATATAATTTGTTACCTGATCTTTATTACATTTTATTTATTATCTACAAATATAAATGCGTTATGCACACGCACCCGCATGTGTATAGCTTGATAATCTTGTTCCAGAGTCACGCTTGTATACAGAACTTCAAGATTTTGAAAGAAGATTAGATGCAACAATCATCAGAAAACGTCTTGAAATACAAGAGGCAATTTCAAAACCTATGAAGGTATTTATTATTTTATCTGTGTATGTGTTATACAATTTATTAATTATAATTGATTTGTTTATTTATTAGGTTAAACGTACACTTAGAATATTTTTATCTAATATTTCTATTAATCAAGCACAAACACAATTGCAAAGTGAAGGTGGCGAAGGCGTTGAAGGTGCAGTAGATGTTAATAGTAATGTAAATTATGGTGATAGTAGTAATATTCCAGCCTGGACATTAAAAATCGAGGGTAGATTGTTAGATGTAAGTTAATTGTACACTACTAATTAATTATTCCATAACATAATAAAAATAATAATATTTTATTCATTTCAAAAATAAAAATGACTTTTCCGTTAGCCTTCAAACTCAAACTCAACTTCCAAAACCAATAAACCGTCTGTACGTAAATTTTCTTCGTTCTTTAGATCAATAATTGTGGAGCTTGACAGAGATCCAGAATTGTATCCAGATGGAAACATCATCGAGGCAAGAATTAATAACAATATATGTTACACACACACACACACACACACACACACACACACACACATATAACGATCCTATCTAATATATGTTTTCTTTACCTTTAAAAATATTTTTGGTTATTTTACAATAAAAGTGGAATAAACCTTTAAATTTTGAAGACGTTGATGGATTTGAAATTAAACGAAAAGGAGATGTTAATGTGAGAGCAAAAATATACTTTAACTTGGATTTAGACCCACAAAAGTTTAAATTATCACCAGAATTGGCAGAGCTGCTGGATGTACAAGAAGAATCCAAATCTGGTGTAATAATGATTTTATGGCAGTACATTAAGGTATTAAACATTTTTATAGAACTATAAAAGGGTTTTTTTTGTTGGATTATCCAATCCAATATAATCAAATCTATTTACTATTTATTCTATTGATGATTTAGCATCATAATTTACAGGACAATGATGATAAAAGAATAATAAATAATGATGCCGCATTACAACAAGTAAGTAATATATTAATAATATTGGTGGTATGATTATATGGAAATAAATCATATTGTTCTTCCTTTTTAGATTTTCAATTGTCAAAGAATGGCTTTTCCACAAATTCCAGATTCACTCAATCGACATTTATTTCCCATTGAACCAATTTGTATAGAATATACTATTTGGTAAATAAATATAATATATATATATATACATATATATATATATACACACATATATACATACATAATATTAAACATAATGTATGATTAATCTTTAAATATAAATTTTTTTAAAATAGTACTGATAAGGAATATAATCAGTCACATTATGCATATGACATTCAAGTTGAAATTGATGATCCAAACAAAATTAGACTGGCAGCCATTGCATCAAATACTTTGAATCAAAAAGAAGTTCAAAGTATAGATGAAAAGGTTTTTATTTCTTTAAAACCCTTTTTTTTTTTTTGGTTAATCTTCTATCATTTTATTTTCTAAACATTTTAATTTAACATCCTTCGACCGATTCAATCACAACCATTAAAGATTGTTCAATGTATTCAAAGTATAAACAATTCAAAAGCAAAACGGGATTTCTTGCTAAATTTTGCAAATTCACCAATTGAATTTATTAATAAATGGATTGCTAGTCAAAGTAGAGATTTAGAGGTTAGTAGTGTTTAATGTTTATATTTAATATTATCGTTAATATTATCATTAAACTATTATAATTTGAATATTTTTAGATTATATTAGGTGATAGTAGGGTAAATATTGAGGAACAAAGATATTCGGAATTTTATAAACAGGATTGGGTTAATGAAGCTACATTCCATTATATTTCTGCTCAGGTACTATAATATATTTATCATTAAAAAAATTTTTTTTTACTATTCTTATACACATTTTTATTAATGCAATTCATCATATATAACACACACACGCATACATAAAAAGACTCAGAAAAGAATGCAAGAGTTATTGGGTAATTCTGGCGGAAGTAATAATATACAGAAAAAATAGTTACTTATGCTAAACAGTTTTTTTTTGCAATTTATTTTAATATATTTTAATATATATATATATATATATATATGTATGTAATAGATAATCTTGTTCCACTATGATATTAAAAATTTTATAATTATCTTTAGTGAATAAATTTTATAATATAGTATATAGTAATTATTTTTTATTGTTTGGTCAAAGTTTTTAAATTAATGGCTGGGGTGTCATGACAGATTAACAAATCTAATATTAATGTCTTTATGCAGATCAATGTGTAGATTTTTATATTCACAAATCAAATTTTATAGGCTCGTGCTCACGGGTTGTGCGTCTTTGGAATCCAAATTCATGTAACCTTGTTACACTAAATCAGTAAGAACCAAATCCTCCAGCTCGTTCATTCTGAACATAATGATAATGGGTACTTTACTTTCTATAGAACGTTTTAATATATATATGAAAACATAAATTACTCATTCATACATAAACAAAAATTATATACTAAACGAAATAAGTAGGGAAAAGGTGGTGTCATGAGTCTTGTGTCATTTTTTATGTGTTAAAGAAAAAAATATGTGAAAGTGGTGACGGTGGGGTTCGAACCCACGCATGTTCCCATACCAGACCCTAAACCTGGCCCCTTGACCACTCGGGCACGTCACCAATAATGCTAATTATCACACATTAATTTTATTATTAGTCGTGGGACATTGCAAATCAAGTGTCATTCAATATAAACGTTACACAAAAAATTTATTGTCGTCCACTTCAAAAAAAAAAAATCTCCGTTTTTCATGTAACAAGCGACTTTCAACCATAATAAATTTTTTAGAGCCAGACTGGGGCTTT